ATCCCTGGGAGGGGAAGTACAGGAGGCAGCCCACCGATGTTCTGTCTCATCAATGTTTCTCTCTCTCTTCCTTCCTCTCTCTCTAAAATCAATAAAGAAAGAAAATTAAAAGTATTTAAACTTACAAAAAAAGATAGTGATTTCATTAATTCATGATATGCATTCAGAAGTAGAATTGCTGGGTCATATGGTAGGTTCTATTTTTAACTTCTTGAGGATTCTCCTACTGGTCTCCATAGAGGTTACACCAATTTACATTTTCATCAACAGTGCACCAGGATTCTTTCTCCACATCCTCACCAACATTTGTTATCTTTCTGATAGCCATTTTAACAAGTATGAAGTAATACCTTATTGTGGTTTTGATATGCATTTCCCTGATTAGTGGTATTAAGCACTTTTTAGTACCTATTGGCCATCTGTATATCTTCTTTGGGAAAATGTCTATTCAAATCCTCTGTCCATTTTTGTTGTTAATCCTCACCTGAGGATATTTTTTCCTTTTTTTTTTTTGAGACAGCAGATAGGAAAGAGGGGAAGACAAAGAGAAACACTAATGTAAAAGAGACACATCAATTGTTTGCCTCCCACACACACCCCAACTGGGGCTGGAGAGCAAACCTACAACCCATATACATGCTCTTGACCAGGAATTGAACCAGCAATGCTTTGGTGGTGGGCTGATGCTCTAACCACTGACCAACACCAGGCAGGGTCTCTGTCCATTTTTTAATCAGCTTTTTTCCTATTGAGTTATATGAGTTCTTTATAGATTTTGGATAATAATACCTTATCAAATAAATTGCAAATATTTTCTCCAATTTATTAGGTTATTTTTCCATTTTGTTGATGGTTTCCCTTGCTGTGCAGCTTTTTTTTTTTTTTTTTTAATTCTCACCCGAGGACATTTTTCCATTTTTTGTTCAGAGAGTGGGAGGGAGAGAGAGGAAGAAAGAGAAACATCGACATGAAAGGGACACATTGAGTGGCTGCCTCCCGCACAACCCAACCAGGGCCGGGGATGCCAAACTGCAACCAAAGTACATGCCCTTAGCGGTAACCGAACCCCAGTCTCTCTGGACCACAGGCCAACGCTCTAACCACTGAGCAAAACCTGCCACGGCAGCTGTGCAGCTTTTGGTGTCAAATCCAAACACCATCACCAAGAGACATCAAGGAGCTAAATGCCTATATTTTCTTCTAGAAGTGTTATGGTTCAGGTCTTAAGTTCAAGTCTTTAACTCATTTTGAGTTATCTTTTGTGTATGTAAGATGGTAGTCCAGTTTTCCCAAGACCATTTATTAAAGAAACTATCCTTTCAACATTGTATAGTCTCAGCTCCTTTTTCATGAATTAACTCTATATTCATGGGTTTATTTCTGGGCTCTCTATTCTGTTCCATTAATCTACTGCCTATCTTTATGCTAATACCATACTCTTGATTACTACAGCATTGTAATACAGTTTGAAATCAGGAAGTGTTATGCCTCCAGTTTTGTAGTTCTTTCTTAAGATTACTTTGGCTATTCGAGGTCTTTTGTGGTTCTATTAACATTTTAGGATTGTTTATTCTATCTCTGTGAAAAAACCAACTGGAATTATGATCAGAATTACACTGAATCTGTAGATTGCTTTTGGTACTGTGGACATTTTAACAATATTAATTCTTCCAATCCATTAGCATGGAATATCTTTCCATTTGTAGCTTCAATTTCTTTCATCAATGTCTTACAGTTTTCGGTATACAGGTCTTTCACCCCCTTGTTTAAATTTATTCCTAGGTATCTTACTTTTTTTTTAATCTTCACCTGAGGATATGTTTTTACTGATTTTATTTTTTTATCCTCACCCGAGGACATTTTTGCATTTATCTTCAGATAGAGCGGGAGGCAGAGAGGGAGGAAGAGAGGGAAACATCGATGTGAGAGAGACACATCGAGTGGTCGCCACCCACACAACCCAACCAGGGCCGGGGACAAACTGCAACCAAGGTACGTACCCTTAACAGGAACCAAAACTGGGACTCTCCAGACCACGGGCTGACACTCTAAGCACTGAGCCAAACCAGCCAGGGCTGTTTTTATTGATTTTAGAGAGAGAGGAAGGGACAGAGTGGGAGAGAGAGAAAAATAAACATGGATATGAGAAATATCAATCGGTTGCCTCCAATATGCACTCTACTCGGGACTGAATGTGCAACCTGGGTATGGGCCTTGACCAGAAATTGAACATGCCACCTTTTGGTGTACAGGATACCACTAAAACCAACTGAGCCACACCAGCCAAGGCAGTACTTAAGTATTTTTTATGTAATTGTAAATGGAACTGTTTTCTTATCTTTGTAATATATGTGATTATTGTATAGAAACAACTGATTCTATATATTGATTTTGTATCCTGCAACTTCATTGAATTCATTCATTAGTTCCAACAGTTTTTAGTGGAGTGTTTAGGGTCTTCTATATATAATGTCATCTGCAAATAGTGCCACTTTTACTTCTTCCTTTCCAATTTGGATACCTTTTATTTTTCTTCTTGCCTAATTACTTCAACTAGGACTTTCAATACTATGTTGAATAAAAATGGTGAGGAGCCCTGCCCAGGTGGCTCAGTTGGTTGGAACATCATCGCATATGCCAAAAGGGTTGTGGGTTCAATTCCCAGTCGGGGCACATACCTGGGTTATTGGCTTAATACCCAGGATGGGTGCATGTGGGAGGCAAGCGATGGATGATTCTAACATCAATGTTTCTCTCTGTCTCCCTCCATCTCTAAAATCAACAAACATGTCCTTGGGTGAGGTTTTTGGTTTTTTTGGTTTTTTTAATGGCAAGGAAAAACTTTCAGCTTTTCACCATTGAGTATGTTAGCTTGTGGCCTTTATTATATTGAAGTGCATTTCCACAATACCCAATTAGTTGAGAGTTTTTACCATAAATGGATATTGAATTTCGTCAAATACTTTATCTAGATCTATTGAGATAATCAGATGGTTTTTATTCTTTATTTTGTCAATGTGGTGTATCAAATTCATTGATTTGCAAATGTTGCACCATCCTTGCACCCTTAAAATAAATTTCACTTGATTATGGTGTCTGATCCTTTTAATGTACTACTGAATTCAGTTTGCTAATATTTTGTTAAGGATTTCTGCACCTATGTTCATCAGGGATACTGGCCTATTATTTTCTTGTAGTGTCCCTGTTGATTTTGGTATCAGCATTATGCTTGCCTCATAAAACAAGTTGGAAGTACTCCATCCTAGTCTATTTTCTGGAAGAGTTTGATACTAATATTAATTCTACTTTAAACGTTTGGTAGAATTCACCAGTGAAGCTGTCAGATTCTGAATTTTTCTATGTTGGGAGGGGCTTTTTCGGTTTTGTTTTGTTTTAATCCTCACCCAAGAATATGTTTTTATTGCTTTTTAGAGAGGAAGAGAAAGAGAAACATCGACTGGTTGCCTCCTGTATGTGCCCCAACAGGGATTGAACCTGAAACCTAAGCATTTGCCCTGATGGGGAATCAAACCCAAAACCTTTTGGTGTAAGGGACAATGCTCTGAGTCAACCAGCCAGGGAAGGTGTTGATTACTAATTCATACTCTTTATTAGTAATGGATCTGTTCAGATTTTGTATTTCTTCATGATAGTCTTAGTAGGGTGAATATTTCCAGGACTTTATCCTTTTCTTCCAAGTTGTCCAATTTGTTGGTGGATAATTGTTCATATTAGTCTCTTATGATCCTTTGTTTTCCTGTGTTATCACTTGTAATATGTCCTTTTTCACTTCTGATTTTATTTGAATTCTTTTTCAAACTGGCCCTGGCCAGTTTGGCTCAGCAGTTAGAGCGTTGGCCTCCGGTCCCAAGAGACCCAAGTTTGGTTCCTGCTAAGGGCATGTACCTCGGTTGCAGTTTGTCCCCAGCCCTGGTTGGGTCGTGCGGGTGGCAACCACTTGATGTGTCCCTTTCTTTTTTTTTTATCCTCACCTGAGGACATTTTTCCATTTTTTGTTCAGGTAGAGTGGGAGGGAGAGAGAGGAACAGAGAGAGAAACATCAACATGAAAGAACACATCGAGTGGCTGCCACCCGCACGACTGACCAGAGCCGGGGACAAACTGCAACCGAGGTACGTGCCCTTAGCGGGAACCGAACCCGGGTCTCTCAGGACCGCAGGCCGACGCTCTAACCGCTGAGCCAAACCGGCCAGGGCTGATGTGTCCCTTTCATGTCGATGTTTCTCTCTCTCCCTCCCACTCTATTTGAAGAAAAAAATGGAAAAATGTCCTTGGGTGAAGATAAAAAAAAAAAAAAAAGAGTAGAATATTTTCTTGGTGAATCTAGTTAAAGGTTTGTCTACTTTATCTTTTCGAAAAATCAGCTCTTGGTTTAATTGATCTTTTTATTGTCTTTTAGTCTTGATTTCCTTTATTTCTGCTCTGATATGTTATTTTCATCCTCCTATTAACTTTGAGCTTAGTTTGTTCATTTTTTTCCAGTTCCTTGAGGTGTCAAGTCAGGTTATTTGAAATCGTGTTTCTTTTTTTTTGTTACAGATGTTTCTCCTTTTTTACCCCATTGACACCCTCCTCCCCATCCCCCCCTGCCCCGTCCCCGACTTTGTTGTCCATGTCCATTGGTTATGCATGAAATCTTGTTTCTTAATGTAATCTTTATCACCATGAACTTCCCTTTTATTTTTCATTTTTATTTTTTTTTAAAGGGTAGAATTAATATATATATATATTTTTTATCCTCACCCGAGGACATTTTTCCATTTTTTGTTCAGATAGAGTGGGAGGGGGAGAGAGGAACAGAGAGAGAGAGAAACATCGATGTGAAAGGAACACATCGAGTGGCTGCTACCCGCACGACTGACCAGGGCCGGGGACAAACTGCAACCAAGGTATGCGCCCTTAGCGGGAACCGAACCCGGGTCTCTCAGGACCGCAGGCCAACACTCTAACCGCTGAGCCAAACCGGCCAGGGCTAGAATTAATATTTTATTGTCATTTATAATCAGATGGTAGTTGAGTATATAGTCTCTATACTTGATCTTCTTTTTTTGTAAATAAAAATTACAAGAGCTGATGGTTGATTGTGTTTTCAGAAAACATAATTAAACTAATTCATTGATGGTGGCTTCAAGTTTTTCCTTATTAGCTCCAGAAAATTCACCCACTTTCTGTCCTTTTTTAAAAAAGTGGAAGGTTGGCATGCATTTGACTTCACACTCTGCAGCAGTATCCTGACAGTTGTTCACATCTACTTCAAGGAACACCACGTTGGAATACTTTTCAGAGAGGGAATGAAAAAAAGGCGTGATCATTTTGCAAGGCCCACACCACATGGCTGAGAAGTCAACGACTACAAGTTTATCTCCTACACTGTTCAAGGCTTCCTGGAAAGCATACTTGCTGTTGATCTGCTTCACCACTTTGGCGGCTGAGGTCTGACCAACGACCTTAAGAGCCAATGGAAGCGGATGCAAAGAGGCAGAGGGGGCTTCTGAACTTCCCTTTTAAAACTGCTTTTGCTGCATCCAACAGGTTTTGCATTTTGTATATTTCCATTTTCATTTATCTCTGGGTATTATTTTTATTTCTCTTTTGACCCCCTAGTTCAGGGATGGGGAATATCCAGCCCACAAAATCATTTGGTCTGGCCCTGCCAAGGCAAACAGCTAGCAGGACTTAAAATTCAATAAACCTAGGAGCTTTTTTCATAGCAACATAAATTTATATTAAGTAATAATAACATAAATATTGAGGGACAAGGAATGTCCATTACAGCATAGACAGGACACATACAAGTACATGACGGGACAGACACATATGCTTCTTGTTGGCTGCCCGAGGCCTGACTGCCTGTATTGCGGTGACTCAGGGGATAGTCAGTGCCAAGCAGGCTGGGAGTCTACATGTTGCAAAAGTGTTCACACACTGTGGCGAAACTACAGCAATCCAGTGATGATGAGTCGAGATGCAATGAGATGATTCTTCACGACGTTGACGACCTTGCCTCTGATGATTGACGACAATGTTGTCGACTTGTTTGTCCACACAGATTAACTCCAATCCAATCTTTATCCACATATCCACAACCAACAATCCTTGCAAAAACGGAATCTCAGATAAAGATTAAGAAAATTACAGTATACAGAAAAGACCTCAAAAGTCAATGATACTAATGTTGGATATGATCCAAATACATGATGCAGGATTAGAACAGCGATCAAAGCAAAATAATCGTGTCGCTGGTGACACACAGACCGAATAGTTATTAAAACTTAAGTGGTGTGTCCTAGCCAGTTTGCTCAGTGGTTAGCACATCGGCCCATGGACCAAAGGGTCTTGGGTTTAATTCCTGGTCAAAGGTATTTACCTGGGTTGTAAATTGATCCCTAGTCTTGGTCAGGGTCATGTGGGAGGCAACCAACCAATGGTGTGTCTCTCACGTCGATGTTTTTCTCTCTTTCTCTCTCCTCGCTTCCCTTCCTTCCACTCTATCTAAAATTAATGGAAAACTATCCTTGGGTGAAGATTAACAAAAAAATAAAGAAAATTAAGTAGTATGACATTCTACAAATGGCAACTACAAAGAAAAGTTGATGCAGAGTATTGATCTTTCCAAGAGAAACGAACAAATGATTATTGTTTTTGTTGAAGTCAAAAGCAAACCTATGTGCCTAGTTTGTGGTAATGTGTTAAAAGTAATAAAAAAGCAAACGTGGAGCATCATTACAGCTCAAAACATGCTAAACTCAATGAACTGGGAGGCCAAATCCATCTGGATAAAATCAATTCTCTTCAGTGGAGCTTGCAATCACAAGCCACTTTCATTAAGCCTCATTGTGACAGAGACAGTATTCAGATGGGTTATGTAGTGAGTGAACTAATCACAAAGCTGAGGCCTCATGTAGAGGGATTGTTTGTGAAAGAGTGCATGGTGGCTGCTACAGAGTTGTTAGCACCAAGTAAAATTGTTTCAGAGTGTTAGCTTGTCTTGGAGAACCAACTCAAACCAGATTACTGACTTAGTAAAAGATACTGAAAAAACACTGAAGGATTCTGCAGATTTCCAATTTTTCTCTCTGGCTTGTGATGAGACAACGAACAAATACTGTCCAACTGGTCATTTTCATTTGTGGGATAACTGCAGAGTTTGACATGGGAGAGGAACTGCTGTCACTGGAGCCATGCATGGGACTACAAGAGGTGAGGACTTGCTTGAGAGACTTGTTTTATCAATGAAAAACTTGAGCTAACATTTGAAAAGTTAAGCAGCCTTACTACAGTTGGAGCTCCAGCTATGGTTGGCTTGCAAAAAGGGTTAATTGCATTTGTTAAGAAAGAACTGGAGGACTTCCGGTCAAGATGGTAGCATAGGTAAACGTGGTATTGCGTCCTCCCACAACCACATAAAAGTTACAACTAAACTACAGAACAACCATCATTCAAAACCGCCTGAAGCTGAATGGAAGTCCTACAACTACAGAATTAAAACAGCAGCCACATTGAAACTGGTAGGAGGGGCGGAGGCAGAAGGGCTGGTCCCACACCCACGTGTGGCAGATAAAAATCAGGAGAACTCCTAGGCAGGGAACGTCCTCTCTGAGGACTGAGGGGTCCCCATCCCACAACAGGTGCCCCTCTCAGGGTTCCAGTGCCAGGAAGAGAAGGCCCCATCATGTCTGGCTGGATAAACCAGTGGGAACTGAGGCTCAGGGAAGATGATGCTGCTGGAACCCCAAGCAGCTCCTTAAAGGGCCCGTGCACAAACTTATCGGACTCACTCCCTCTAAGCTTGGAGGGGAGGCAACTCAAGGGGCACCAGAGACATACAGGGATGAACTGAGCTGTTTGGCACTGGAGCGAGGGCTGGAGAGAGGGCTTTCTCCAGGAAAAGCGTGCTGTCAGAGGCCTTTGTTCCTTCGGTAAGCCCTTCCCTAGGGCAGCAGACAGCTGCCATATCTGGGACTCCAGCAACCAGGCTCACACTGGTTGCCCCGCCCTGGTGATTCCCTGAGGCCCCGCCCCACCCAACTTTCAGGCCCACCCAAGCTGTTGCCAGTTGCTTAACCATAGGATTGGCCTGTCTTGGATCCTGCTTCAGGTTTTCCTAAATTCTTTCAAACAAGCAGCATCTGGTCTCAGATAGCCCCATACCTCTCCTTAAGTAATACACAAACACAGGGAGGCAGCCAAAATGAGAAGAAAAAGAAACAGGTCCCAAATGAAAGAACAGAACAAAACCCCAAGAAAAGAACTAAGCAAAATGGAGATAAGCAACCTAACAGATGCTGAGTTCAAAATACCGCTTATAAGGATGCTCAGTGAACTTAGTGAGGGCCTCAAGAGCATAAAAAAGGACCAGTCAGAAATGATGGATGCACAGTCAGAAATGAAGGAGGCATTAACTAAAACAAAGAATAATTTACACAGATTCAATAGTAGAGTAGGTGAAGCCAAGAAGCAAACCATCGATTTGGAATATAAGGAAGCAAAAAACGCCCAATCAGAACAGCAAAAAGAAAGAAGAATCCAAAAAAATGAGGACAGTGTAAGGAGCCTCTGGGACAACTTCAAGCGTGCCAATATTCGCATCTTGGGGGTGCCAGAAGGAGAAGAGAGAGGACAAGAAATTGAAAACCTGTTTGAAATAATAATGGCAGAAAACTTCCCTAACTTGGTGAAGGAAACAGACATACAAGTCCAAGAAGCACAGAGAGTCCCAAACAAGATGAACCCCAAGAGGCCCACACCAAGACACATCATCATCAAAATGCAAAAGGTTCAAGACAAAGAGAGAATCTTAAAAGCAGCAAGAGAAAAGCAGTTAGTTATCTGAAAGGGAGTTCCCATAAGGCTGTCAGCTGATTTCTCAAAAGAAACTTTGCAGGCCAGAAGGGAGTGGCAAGAAATATTCAGAGTGATGAAAAGCAAGAACCTACAACCAAGATTACTCTATCCTGCAAAGCTGTCATTTAGAATCGATATCCCATATAAAGAGTTTCCCAGACAAGAAAAAGTTAAAGGAGTTCATCACCACCAAACCGTTATTATAGGGAAATGATGAAGGGTCTTTTTGAAGAAAAAGATAAAATATATGAACAAACAAAATGTCAATGAATACATGTCTATTGGCAATGGAATCTACAAACAGGCAGAACAGAAACATTCTCATAGATACAGAGAACATTTTGTTGGTTGCCAGATGGGAGGAGGTTTGGGGGAATGGGTGAAAAAGGTCAAGGGATTAAAGTACAAATTCATTGCTAGACTGACAAACCTCAAAGGGAAAGGGGTTGGGGAGTGGGAAGAAATAAACCAAAGAAGTTATATGCATAACCAATGGACACAGAAAATAGTATGGGAAAAGGTGGGAGGGGGGTGGGAGTGAAGAGGAAGGGGTCAATGGGGGGAAAATGAGGAACATCTGTAATACATTCAACAATAAAGATTTAAAAAAAAAAAAAAAAAGAAAGAACTGAATTGTCTCAGTCCTGATTCAGTGATTTAATTATATGCCACTGCATCATACACCAAGAAAGTCTCTGTGCATAGTCATTGCAGCTCAACAATGTGATGTCAACAGTAGTGTCATCATAAATTTTGTCAAAAGCAGAGGGCTTAGCCCTGGACAGTTTTGCTCAGCAGTTAGAGCGTAGGCCTACGGTCCAGAGAGACCCAGGTTCGGTTCCCGCTAAGGGCACATACCTTGGTTGCAGTTTGTCCCCAGCCCTGGTTGGGTCATGCGGAAGGCAGCCATTCTATGTGTCCCTTTCACATCGATGTTTCTCTCTCCCTCCCACTCTATCTAAACAAAAAAATGGAAAAATGTCCTCAGGTGAGGATAAAAAAAGAAGCAGAGGGTTTAATAGCTGCCAGTTTAAGGAGTCATTGAATGATCTTGATTGACTCTTGAGTATGGTGATACCATTTATCACTGTGAAGTGTGGTAGCTGAGTCTTGGGATCATGTTCATGAGATTTTATGAACTGCAAGATGAAGTCAAACAGTCCATGGAGATGAAGAAAAAACCTGTCAGGGAACGCAATGATAGCAAGTGGCTGTGTGATTTAGTGTTCATGGTGGACATTAGCAAGTACCTCTCAGAGCTGACCGTCAAATTGCAGGGCCCCAACCAGTTTCTCAGCTCCCTGCTTTCAAACTTGAAATCATTTGAAGCTAAATTAGGGTTTTGAAAAGTGCAACTCGAAAGGATTAACACAGTGCATTTCCTTCCCCCCACTCTGGAAGGACAAAAGCCTTCTATGACACTTGAATATGCTAGTGAATGTGTGAACTAAGGCATTTAATGAAAGATTCAAGGATGTGAAAAGTAAACAAACAGAATTGAACATCTTTGCTACACACAATTCAATGTGAAACCAGTTGATGTGCCTGATAACCTACAACAGGAAATAATTCAACTGCAAAACAATGATGAGCTAAAAGCTAGGTACAACAACCCCCCCACTGCTTGAGTTCTATAAACCTCACATAAGCAAAGATCAATTTCCCACTTTGAGGATAAATGCATTGAAATATGCATCTGTGGCCCGGCTGGTGTGGTTCAGTGGTTGAGTGTTGACCCACGCACCAAGAGGTCACCGGTTCAATTCCTGGTCAGGGTGCATGTCCAGGTTGTGGGCCAAATTCCCCGTGGGGGGGCATGAAGGAGGCAGCCAATCGATATTCTCTCTCAATGATGTTTCTCTCTCTCTTTCCCTCTCCCTTCCTCTCTCTAAATCAATGAAAGATAAAAAATTTTTTTAAAAAGAAATGTGCATCTGTATTTGGAACAACTTACTGCTGTGAGCAGTTCTTTTCGAAATTTAGCAGAGTAGACTGTGCTCCAGACTGACAGGCACAAACCTGGAAAAGCAGTTTTGAGTAGCAACATCATCAATACCAGCTAACATCACACACCTCACCAAAAAGAAGCAGTTCCAGCCATCACATTAGGGGTGAGTTAATAAAATGTTTGACCAAATGTAGCAGGCTAATTTTTAAGTTGATAATTTTGTATGGCCCAAGTATGTTATAAATATCCAAATGGCTCTTGGAAGGAAAAAGGTTTCCCACCCCTG